TGTGTGTGAGAGAGGGTGTGTGTGTGCGTGCGCGTGAGCATGTGTGTGAGAGTGCATGTGTGTGTGAGAGTGAGTGTGTGTCTGATTGTGTGAGTGTGTGCATGCGTGTGTGTGTTTGAGAGAGTGTGTGTGTGTGTGTGTGTGTAGTCCTACATTTGCATGGTCCTGCTGTAATCCTCTTCTCTCCTCCATGATCCAGACTGTAAACACACACAGATGGACATTCAGTCAGTACACAAACATCAGCTTAACACACACACACACGCAAACACACACACACGCACGCACGCACGCACACGCAAACACACACACACACAATAAGACATGTGGAGTGTGTGCTGAATGCTGGATTGTGATTTGCTGATCTCAGTGCATTAATAACTGCAGTAAAACAACATGAGTGTGTGTGGAGCTGTCAAATCAGCTTCTGAATGACACACAGAGCTTTTAGATCAGATGTGGAAACAGAAAACAGAATGGAAACACAGAAACAGACAGATATAAAGACTGAAGGATTCATTCAATGATCAATTGACAAAAGCGCAGCACAATAATAAAGCAGAATTCAGTGTTAAATGACTTGAAATATGATGGAGATCTTCATCTTCTGTCAAATGCCTCTTCATCATCTCCAAACATTTGTTGTTGGAGAGCAGTGAATCCAGACCAATCTGCAGTCCTCCTCGCCCTTTGGAAGCTTCGTGGGTTTGTGTTCTGTTTATTGTTCATAATACTTCAGTTATAAAGGATTAGTTTAGGAGTTTTTTGTCATTTGCTTTATTTGAGTTTGTTCAACATGTGATTGTCACTGGACTATATCAGAACCAGCATCACTGTCTGCTAGGGATGTAACGGTATCAGAATTTCGCGGTACGGTAATACCTCGGTATGAATGTCACGGTACGGTATTTATTGAATCATTTACAGGAAAAACAAAACTTATGAAAATACTCCAAAAAAGTGCCAAAAGTGTCAATGACATACAAATTAGCCATCTATCTGTAAGCTTTGAAACAGGAACTTCAATTTTAATAACAAAAAACTATTAAACCATGTAAAAAAATAAAGTTTCAATTTAGTATTGTTGAAAACTCATCACATTCAACATTTAATCACACTCAGCCCATCTACCCAGATGAGAGCTCTGCTAGTCGGACTTCTCATCAAGCATCTCCCGCTGGATCTAATCTCACTATATTTATTAAACGGGATATTTCATTTATCTTGTTGCCTTTATCTAACGACATATTCCCTGACTTTGGGCATTGGAATCTATTACTTGTTCTCAGGTAACGTGTTTTTGCTGAGCGCAAAGATAAGTTAATGATTAATGTAACCACGTACATTCTGTATATTGACTGATCGCCTTTATTTCCTATAATGTAAAAACTTATTGTATGTTATACTTTTAAAATGGCCATTATCGATTCTTAAAACTGATACTCAACAAAAGAGAGGCTGTGTTTCGTATTTTCATTGAAATTGAAAGGAGGCAGTTATTATCGGCTCCGTTTTGTTATAAATATGCACACAGTGAAGATGACGCTCATGCAGCACGGCGCCTCAACATTTCTGCTGTCTAAGTTGCTAATATTAAAATGAAAATAGGCAGTTCCTTAAATCATGTTTACATTTTATTGTTGAGAAAGTGAAACAACGAAGCCAGGGTGATGTGAATGAAGTTATAAAGTACACTGTTCCCTTTGAAGATTTACCCGTCTCCTCGGTATAATCTGCTTTTCCATATCAAACTGAGAAGAAGAGATGCAGCCTTGATCAAACTTGCGAAGTCTGAACTTACACGGAGAAAATGCAGGACTGAACTGTGCGTGTAAAGCAGGTCGCACACCAGAAGCGACGCTCGGCGGCGCGCCGCGCAGCGCCAGGCAGCGCCATGTATTTTAGAATTCTAAACATAGGTTTCTATCAGGATACACACACCGGCGCCGCAAGTCGGCGGCTGTCGGCGGCGCCCGGCGACGGCTCAGGACGCAGTTCATTTTTCAGCCGCGCCACAGAGCGCCATCTGATTAGTTTCATGTTAAATATCATTCGAATGTGCGCTTCTGGTGTGCGATACTTTAATCTGTCATGTACGCGCCGTGTCGCGGCGCCGAGCGGCGCTTCTGGTGTGCGACCTGCTTTAGAGTTTCCAGCTCTTTTCATCCCCGCTTCTAGCAGCACACTCCATTTCCGCATTACTGGATCTGTAGCAACAACAGACCGCAAGGGATGATGGACAAGCATGGGCTGATGGCAATTGTAGTTTTCGTTACCTCCCGTTCGCTTCATTCGCCTGAGCAAATTTTCTCAGAAGACCTATAGTTTTACCGAGTCATGCGACTTCGGTAATATCGAAAAAAATTAATATTGCGGTATGACGGTATTTACAATACCGTTACATCCCTACTGTCTGCTGATCACTTTTATTGCCTGATATTTTGTGTTCATGTTAGTTTAGAAGCAGAAAAGAGCCAGATTACAAGATATGTGAGATATTTGCCAGAAACATCTTTGTTATGTCCACATTGTGAATGTAAATTTATGTTGTTTATTTTCTTCCTGTTTATAGTTTTACTCCGCCCTTATTAAAGTGTGATAAAGGACATTCTGTGTCTGTGAAGTTAATGAGGGAGAGTTTAACTTGCTTTTAAAGTATACACAGGACGTATTTGGAGAACAGTACACACACATCTCTGACCTGATACTGTACAGTTCTTCAGCAGAAATGTAGAGAACAAGTTTCACTGCTCAACTACAATGCTGAAACTGTACAGTGTTAATATGAGATATAATATCACGCTTAATGTGAGAACTGCCCCAGTGCACTGACATATTTAACAGCTTTGATTCATATCTGGACACTAGAAGAGCAGTGAAGTATCAAAGTATCTGTATTCACAATAAAAAGGCAGTGCTGCTCCACATACTTGAGTTTGTCCAGTGTGTAGTTTGGATCCTCCAGTTGTTCAGAGAGCAGCTTGACTCCTGAATCTCCTGGATGATTGTAGCTCAGATCCAGCTCTCTCAGGTGTGAGGGGTTTGAAGTCAGAGCTGAAGACAGAAAACCACAGCCTTCCTCTGTCACCATACAGCCAGACAATCTACAAACACAGCAATAGTCCACATCACACAGTTGGACAATCACACATCTCTTTGTGTTGTGAAGATGCTGACTGCTGTTTCTGCTCATGTCAACAGCAGTGATGAACACACACATCCTGATCAGCTCTCCTTATTGATCGAGCCCTCGCATCAGCAAACACACTCACACACTCAACAAGGACTCGACATCATCTGTAGAAGTGTACAAATAGTTCATAAGACATCACATGAAGCTGAAAAGTCTGCTGTGAGGAATAAGACACATTTGACCACAGAAGGAAATCTTGAAGTATAAAGTGTATTTGAAAATGAGCTGATTTCATTATTTATCTTTAGATTATATTTAGATCATATTTAGATTATATTGTGGAAAATATTGTAAATAAACTAAACACACACAAACTCAATCTCTTGGTGTCTTTGTCTCCTGTCTGACAGTCATTAGAGCTGTAGTCAATCCACCAAATGTTAACAAGGCCAAGACACTTCTTCAGTTTAGATAATAAGATTGTCATGAGACTTTTATATGTTTTCAGGAAAACTGCAAACTGTACAAACATTAACATAAACATTCAAATATAAACAAAAAATATATAAACATATAAAATATGAGTACAGAACTTAGAGGCAATTAATCTAAATAATCAATAAATACACCGATTAACTCTTTTACTGTCATATTTCTGTCTATCAGAAAAAGAATTAGATAATTCAGCATTTGTATTTTACTCAGTAATGCTTTTGAATATATTTGCCTTTACACACAGACTTGTATAGATATGAATACAATCACTGCCAATCTGCCGACACACTGAGTGGGGAAAGAGGCTTCTATATTTGTTTAACCAATATGTAACTCTCTTTTTGTAGTTTCGGTTGAGTGGACAGTCATTTACCTCAGTGTCTCCAGTTTACACTCTGGTTTCTTCAGTCCATCAGAGAGAATCTTCACTCCTGAATCCTGCAGGTCATTGTTACTCAGGTCCAGCTCTCTCAGGACACAGTTTGAGGATTGTAGAACTGAAGACAAACTCTCACAGCACAGAACAGTGAGATTACAGCTCTGAAGCCTGTGTAGAGGACAAACACAATATTGATGTTGAGTTTGATATGTACGGCACTTTACAGTGTTGTGTGTGGAGCTGAACGAGCCCACCAAACACGGTGGGGTATACGGCTCTCGGGGGCGGGACATCAGCTAAACATGACGCAGGCAGAGAAACATTTTCCAATGAGTGAAAGTTACAGCAGTGTTGCCATGGAGTGTTTTCCTCTGTGATTGCTGGCTGGCTCCTTGCTATTGGGCACATGCTGACATTCAACCCAGCTCGCTTCATTCACAACACTTTAAAAAAAGTTGTGTAAGTTGCTGCCCAGCGGGACATTATAAATATAGAAATGTATAAAAATCAGAGCTTAATTTGAGCAGGATCTTGCCGTATCCTGTTCCGGGAAATGTCAGATATTTGTAATAAAGCTGCAACAACGAATCAATTAAATTGATAAAAATCAATTACTCAAAGCGTTGGCAGTGAATTTCATAATTGAATTTCATTATCGATTCGTTGTGTCGCACGACACGGGGACGTTTGATTATTAAAAAACACGCGGAGTGAACACGGTCTCTCTCATCAACTGATCCAGAGTTCAGTGCCTCATAGGCAGAGATAAGGAGAAAGGGAGTTCAACAGCAGGTGTGTTGACTGGTGCTGAGCCAGAGAAAGACGCGTCATATCATCACAATTATGCAGCGTTTTAACCACCTAATGCTTATTTTATGTTTTAGATAAACATTTACATGTAAATACAAACAAGCACTAGTAAAACAAGACATTCGGAGTTTGTGAAACACACAAAAATGTCTATGGAAGTCTAACAATCCATTCAAATATAAATTGCTGATGTGTTTTATTCATATCAGATACACATGGTGAAAGTAACTATAAAGTTAAATCTACTCTTCTATAAGTTCACCAGACACTCACTTGCATGTATTCTGGGAGTAACTGGTGAATTTACATGCTGAATCTTGCGTGTTCTGCTTTTATGAATGAATCAAACGCGAGGCTGCAAGTAAACATGGCACTTTGACTTACAGAGCTCTTTTGGAGGTTTTGATGACTGCTGATAGTCTGATGAGACACTCGTCTGATCTCTGGAATTTCTGAAGCTCAAACTCCTCCAGCTCCTCCTCTGAGGTTAACAACACAAAGACCAGAGCAGACCACTGGGCAGGTGAAAGGCGAGCAGATGACAGACTTCCACTACTGAGGTGAGACTGAATCTCTTTCAGCAGAGTTTGGTCATTCAGTTCATTCAGACAATAGAACAGATTGATGGATCTCTCTGGAGACAGATTCCCTTCAAGTTTCTGCTTGATGTAGGCAATTATTTCCTCTTTGCTCTGGTCTCTGTCATCCTGCTGTGTCAACAGGCCTCGTAAGAGTTGTCGATTGGACTGGAGTGACAGACTGAGAAGGAAGCGAAGGTAAAGGTCCAGATGTCCATTCTCACTTTCCAGAGCCTTGTCCACTGCAGCCTTCAGGAAATCAATCTTGCCTTTATTTCTGCTTATCTGTAAAAACAATCCACGCTTCTTGTCTCTGTTTAGAATCAGATGTTGATAAAGGGCTGCAATGAACTCCTGAATGCTCAAGTGAAGAAAGCAGTACAGGGTACCAAGAATGATTCCCGTCTCCTCCTTCAAGATCTGGGTACACATGCCTGAGTACACCGATGCCTTATAGACGTCAATGCCACAGTCTTTCAGATCGCTCTCATAGAAGATCAAATTGTTTCTTTCCAGCTGCTGGAAGGCCAGTTTCCCCAGTGAAAGGATGAGGTTTGGATCCCAGGAAACATCTGCTGTGTTTTCTCCATCATACTTTCTTCTGCTCTGCTGGATCTGAAAGCGGAGAAAGTGTGTGTACATCTGTGTCAGAGTCTTGGGAGATTCCTGCAGTGTTTCAGCATGAGTCCTGTGTTTCAGTTTCAGTATGTTCTGGAGAACAGTGGCTGAAATCCAGCAGAAGACTGGGATGTGGCACATAATAAAGAGACTCTTTGACTGTTTAATGTGATCAATGATTTCTTTGGCCTGATTCTGATCTGTGAGTCTCTTTCTGAAGTACTCCTCCTTTTGGGCATCATTGAATCCTCGTATCTCTGTCAGCCGGTCGATACAGTCAGCAGGAATCTTACTGGCAGCTGCTGGTCTGCTGGTGATCCAGATGAGAGCAGAAGGAAGCAGATTTCCCTTGATGAGGTTTGTCAGGAGAACATCCAGAGAGACTGCTGAAGATACATCACGACACGTCTCATTACCAGCAAAGTTCAGAGGAAGACGATATTCATCTAATCCATCAAGGATGAACAGGACTTTGAATCGTGTGCTTCTTGTAAGGTTCAGTCCTTTAGTCTCTGAGAAAAACTGAGTTATGAGGTCTTTTAAACTTTGTCTTTCTTTCTCCTTTAAGTTTATTTCTCTGAATGGAAGAGGAAATATGAAGCTGATGTCTTGATTTTCTTTCCCTTCAGCCCAATCCAGAACAAACTTTTGCACAGAGACTGATTTCCCGATGCCGGCAACTCCTTTTGTCAGGACAGTTCTGATCTGCTCGTCTTGTTCAGCTGCTTCAAACAAATGTTTGCATTCAACCTGTATCTCTAGTGACTGATGACGTCTGGAAGCAGCTTCAATCTGTCTGATCTCATGTTCAGTGTTGACCTGTTCACTCGCACCCTGAGTGATATAGAGATCTGTGTAGATGTTATTCAGAAGTGTGGAGTCTCCTTGCTGAGCAATTCCTTCAAACACACTTTGATATTTCTTCTTTAGGCTACATTTAAGCTGATTAATGAAGAACAGCTCGCCTAAACACAGGAGCAAAGAAACAGAGAGATTTAGTCTTGACTTATTTGTAAGTGACAGTCTGACAGATCGCCATGAGTAGGGCCAGACAGAACTTTCAGACTTTTTTTTTTTGCTATTTCTGAGGAGAATTGTGTAGAATCATAACTAAAAACTTAATATATGAAAAAAACTTTTAAAATTATTAAATAATAATATTTAATATTTACAATACAAATCCAATTAGATCCACTTAATTGGTAAAGCACAAGACTCTTATATAACAGATCTACTAAAGGACAGAAAATATGACTTTACAAACTGCACTGTAAATAAATCATATGAAACTTTTTATATTAGTTAACAATATCACTGAAATTAAATAAAAACTGAACGAATATAAATGTACACACATCTACACAAGTAATTAAATAGACTCAATGATGGGCTAAAACTCTGTGGAAATCTGCAGGTTTCGTGTGGGTCTAGCCATGAGTATCTTACCCTGGAGAGTATCAGCAGCTTGATCTTGCTTCATCTCTCTCAGGAAGAAGAGTGTGAGATCAAGAGCTGCCTCTGTGATAATGCTTCTGTTCTCATTAAACTCCTTTACAAACTCTTCTCTGTTTTCTTCTTGTAAGATTTTCTTAAATTTCTCCAGTTCATTCTTCAAAAATCTGATCATTTTACTCTCAAGATTCTATGAGTGAAGAAAAGAGAAGAACAACATTTAACCAAAACATTCATTCACACACAGTCATCCACAACCTAGTCAATAAATGAAAATACATTATAAAACAGTATACTATGAGTCTGTTAAATGCTTGATTCTGATTAGCTGATGAACATTCAAAGGTTATTTTCAGATAAACACACAGTTAAAGTACATCCAAGCAGGTTTTGAGCACATTACACATAAGGGAGTCACACACCAGATGCCCCACTCAGTGCTGCGACACAGCACAAACAGCTGGAAGTATCACACACCAGGCGCACACATTCACATGTTATTTAAAATAAAACTATTCAGAGGGTGCAACCGAAATATTAATTGTCCTGAGTCAGAGCTAGGCACCCTAATAGAAATCTGTGTGTGGCGGTGCTGTGCTGTGTGGTGCCGAGAGGCGCATCCGGTGTGTGAGCCCCTTTACCCATCACTACTGCTGAATGATTTCAGATTTCTCTCAGCTACAAAAGACAAAAATCACATCAAAACACATCACATTCTTTGAGTAAAATGTTTAAGAGACTAGTCCTACACACAATGTAGTCCTGTTTTAACCAAGCCATCTGTGTTTAGACGTCTATTACACTGATATATGGAGAAATTGACTCTGGTCTGTTGATTTATTAGAGAGTAATGTACACCAGATATATGATGTCAATCTCCATAAAATAGCTAAAATACTCATTTTGATCATGTTGATGGGACAAACACAGATGTGAACAGTAAAGGTTATCACTTTTAGTTGTGTACATTCATGATTACAACTAAACTACAAGTTATTGTAAAATGAGTGAAACTGACAGGGAGTCGTTTCTCTTTCTGTGTCTTCTGTCAACATGACTGGCAAACATGTCAGAGAAAACAGCTGAATCTTCAGGAGCAAACTCATTTAGAAAACAAATGCTCTTTATTTTAGAAATCTGTATGAAAAGAGTGCAAAGCAGAACTCTGAGCTCATCAGCCGGCTAATCACATGACGAGTATTTTAAGAGTGTTTTGTGACCATCCTGAAATTACAGAGTGTGTTTCTATTGGGGACAAATTCATCATCTCCTCCCGTCTGCTTCTACTGTGCTGTTTGTTGCTCCAGTCTGCATTTCAGAAATGTGTTAAATAAGACCCTCTCTCACCTCACGTCTCTTGCGCACACGGTACCGCTTAAGGGGAGGTTAATATTAAAATATTCAATATGCATGATATTTAAAAAATTTTCATGGTCGTCAAAATTATTCCAATATTATCGCTAATATTCGATGTATTGTCCAGCCCTACTCATGACTAATGTACATGCATGTTTATATTCATGTATAATATTATATCACAATGTTTACAATAATATTCCCTCAACTTTCACCATTTTAAAGCACAGTTCTGTATGGCTCAAAATAAGCTGCTGCATGAATGAATGTGATTATGAAGAATGAGGAATATCTGCTTATGCTTTAATGTTTCCTTTCTGCAAGAGATTTACTATTACTTTCAAAAGTCAATCCCTGCAGATAATGTGATATGAAGATACGGTATGAATGTCTGGGGCAACATCTTAGAGGAAGCAGAAACATTAGATCATTCCAGAAAGACATAATAATAATAATAATAATAATAATAATAAATAAATAAATAAAACATAAATAAAAGTTGGAATAACTAGAATGCAAAAAAGAAAAAAGAGAGAAAATATGTTTATTGCATGACCTATTAGGACTTCTTTAGATTAAGATTATTTATGCAGACATTTTAGTTAGGTGGGAGGCCAAGTTCATGCAGGTTACAAGATCCAGTTCTCAAAAGTCTTGTGAACAAATATTTCTGTGTTTCATGGAGTTATTTCAGTGATTTTATGACTCAAAACGAGTTTTTCCTACCTGGAAGATCGACTGGAGATTGTCTGTGAAGCTCTTGTGTCTCCTGTGAGTCTCGTCTCCTAAATCTGCTGCCTCATATTCAACACTGTTAACAGATAAAACTACTGTAATCATACATTTACAGGCAAGCACATACAGATATTCATTCATTCATTCATTTTCCTTCAGTTTAGTTCCTTTTTTATCAGGAATGCCACAGCAGAATGAACCACCAACTATTCCAGCATATGTTTTACACAGCGGATGCCCTTCAAACACCCATACACACTCATTCACACACACTCATACACTAATGCCAATGTAGTTGATCAATTTCCCTACAGCACATGTGCATGGACTTGTGGGGGAAACCAGAGCACCTGGAGGAAGCCCACGCTAACACGGGGAGAACATGCAAACTCCACACAGAAACACCAAATGACCCAGCCAGGGCTTAAACCAGCGACCTGCTTGCTGTGAGGCCACAGTGCTAACCACTAAGTTAATGTGCTGCCTCCAAATACAGACATATATCTTGCAAATGCTGAAAATAAAGAACATTCTGTAGTGCCACTGCTGCGTCACGTATTAAATCTAGATGAAAAATCACACACAAAACACACGTCACTATTGAAATCAGCAACTGAAAGACTTCAGAAAGTAGCTGTAGACAGAAATATATTTGATTAACAGTTTATTATTACACAAAACTTTAAAGCAGCAACAGCTATAATTATTTTTCAAATCTGTATTCAGACACATTTACTAAACTTTACTTTTGGCTATAAACATCTTTTATATTCTACAAGTGAGGAAACGATGATGAAGAACTTGAATTGAAGTGAATAATCCATATATATGCACATTAAATTGACCTGGAAATATAAAAATTATGATTTACTAAAAATAGTCACAGGATTAGAAACTGAAACTAAATCTGCCACCAGGAGTCTGTAAATGTTTTAATGAGACACTAAAGTGGTTCAGGAATGGCTTTCTTTATTAGAATGTTCAAATAACGTTCAAAACAGTCCATGTGTGAGCAATTATGTAAAACACAATACCTTCTGACAGATGATGGTGTTTCCTCTCTGAGGTCTGGTGGATAACCTTGTTTTGACCGGTCACTCTTCAGAGACACAGAGCTGGACACACATGATCCTGATCTCACACTGAAGACACAAACACACCAGAGGGAAAGGAGCGTCACAGCCTGCTGCAGTCTCTCTTATGAACACTACAGGGCACATGGTTTTATCTTCCTGGATTTCATTTCCTCTTTGTAACACAATTAGCTCATAGAGAATTATGAATAATTAATTATTTGCTAGTGCTATACCTTTATTCTTCACTTGTATTGCCTCGTCCTGTACTAACTGAATGTTTGTTAGATTAATTTAAGTGTTCAGTGTAGTTAAAGGTTCACGAAGTCCTCGAGTACTTTTTTTGAGATGTTAACAGATGTGTGTGTTGAGCATCAGTTAAGACAGTGTTAGCACCTGTCAGCTTTAATTGTGGGAAAACTGGATAATTTTGAGCTTTTGTTAGCTAATTTCAGCTTCTGGGTTTAAAAGGATTTTTGGGGCGGATCAAAATTGGTGATGGAGAGCAAAACTGCAAAGATGCAGATGGTTTCTCATTATTATTCATAGCGGAGTTTTCTTATGCTATGAGAAGAGCCGGCTTCTTAATTATTCATGACTGCTTGTGCTTTCCGAGGGCAAAGCAGACCTGCCAGTGTGAGATACTGCGTTGATGACTTGGTGAGATGCATAAGGTTTCGAGCCACACGGCTGATGAAGAGCCGTGTGGCTCGAAACCTTACACGCATTCTGTCAGCCTTTTTAATTTAATAAATTTGTATTTTTGGAGCCTTTGTGTTGCCCCCTTTAATTAACATTTAATTTTAAACATGTGGACAATACATTATAGATTAATTCATTTTAAAATATTATATTAATAAAGTTTTTTTATTCAATTATAGGCATGCGGGTCCAGTTAAGGGCCTACAAGACACTATGCCCAGGGGCGTCTGAATTCTTAATGCGTAATAACGGGGAGTTTGGTGTAAGATCACTTTCATTAGGCTAACACACCCAATATTGAACATTAATCATTAAACACTTTAAAAGTGTCTAACAGATAATAATAATAGTGTACATGTGTATATGTCAGACAGTTAAGAGTGTGATAGTGAAATGACAACAGCTTTCATTCTGTATGATTAGCTCGTCTGTATGAGAATGTTTCATTAATCACACATGAACATGGTCATGGATTGATGTTTATGCTCATATCTGCGCTCGTTTCTACATTGCATTAATAAATGAGGCCCGTTGTGTTTGCATCTCTGTCTCTCTGTTCTGGGGATTATAGTTTTACCATGTCTGCCATCTTGTTCCTTGGATTATTCTGTGTTCGCTCTGATCTTCACCTTGCCTTTGGGATTTTTATTTAATAGATGCTGAACATCAATCCTCTGGCTTGTGACTCATAACTTTATATGACAAAGAGCATATTTTACTACCAGAGTGTTTTCAGATGCATTATTTAAAGTCATAAACAGCAGATAAATGTGTTATGGTCAGATATTTGTCCTTATCAGGAGTATGGATACATTCAGAAGAGTCTGAAAATGATATAACACTGCTCTTGTGTTTCTTATTGAGCCTTTAAAGTGTTGTGTAAATATAATAAAATGTTCTAACAAATCCTGAAACAGTCCATGAGTGAACAATAATGTACAACACAACATACCTTTGTGCAGATGATGGTGTTTTTTCACTAAAGTTTGGTGGATAATCATCTTTTGACCGGTCACTCTTCAGAGACAGAGAGCTGGACACACATGATCCTGATCTCACACTGAACACACAAACACACCAGAGGAATAAACTGCAGGACAAACTTCAGTCTCCTTTACAAGAGTTTATCAGACAAATATGAGTTTGTTCAGTTTAATTCAGCACTAATAGTTGACTGAAGGTCTGTCTGATCAGGTCACCAGATCAAGCTGTCTGTAATCTAGAATGATCTAAACACATTTGCTGAAGCTGTAAACTGAAGCTTTGTCCATCATTTGATCAGGCAATAGCAACACAAATAAGTGCATTGTTGTTGGTCTTTGTTCTTCAGAGAAAGTGTTGAAATAATGGTGTAAAAACAGAGTCAATACCTGTGTTTCTCTGAGAGAGAGTCCTTTACTCGCTCCTCTGCCATACTGCAGCTAAAACACCAATGCAGACATTAGCAGAGCTTTCAGGAAACAATCAGCCGCTGACCATCACCTGGAGATGACAATATACTGAGATGAAGAACAGCACACTTTATAGCAATCAATGCTCACTTCACTAACAACACCGCACTCAAACACACCCGATAGTCATGCCACAGCATTCACATGCAGAAATATATATATACACACACACAGGGCTTGACAATAACTGTTTTCATCACCAGCCACTTTGGCTAGTAGATCTCCAACATTACTAGCTATTCACCATGTTCACTAGCCATGATTTTGTTGGAGAATATATTTTATATGCATAAATCTGACTTTGACATGCTAAAATGACTTTATCTAGATTTTGTGTAATGTCCTCATGCATTTTACTGTTCTCTGTGTTGTGTTTGACCTTGCTTGATGTGCGTGAGCAAATGGGTTGTAGTGTAGCACCAGGCCCGGATTGGCTAATCGGGAGAATTCCCGGTGGGCCGGTATGTTTTTTGGCCCTGAGGGCCGGTGTCTCTAGCTGCTTGAACTGTCAGCAGTCGCACTTTTTTTTCATTTGTTTATTTGTTTGAGCACAGCCTCACTCTTTTTATTCATTATTTTGCTGCAGCTCTGCTCTTTTTATGTATTTTCTCGCACCTCCATGGGTAAAATGCAGCCTGCAGGTTAATGACGTAACATCATTTGACCCCAAACAGCGGCACCTTAGTGAAAGACTTTGAATAATTATTATTAATGAATATTACAGCTGCTCAATGAAGATCTGCTGATTCACTAGATTACAGTGTTTCTCCATTGGTTTGACTCTTTTCTTGAAACAGAAATGACATTCCCAAAACTCATTTGGCAAAACACTACAGCTTACTTACAAAAGCTTAAGGGCCCTATCATACGCTGTTTAAATAGCAAATGCATTAGCGCTCATTTGTGCGCTCATAGGCGTTCTGGTATAAAAAGAGAGGGGTTCTGAGGTGGACAGCTGGTGCATTGCTATTTTGAGAAACTATAATAGATTTTTCATTAGACCAAAACTAACCCGGTCTAAACTCCGGCGCAGAGTTGCACCTCGCTTACGCACTGCTTAATACGCACAAGAGAGCAATAGGCAAATATTTTTACATATGAAAAAAAATTAATATTAAGGATATATATAGGATATAATAAAAATAGATATAGGATATAAATATTAAGGATTAAAATATTAAAAAACATATTATTTTCTAGCCTACAAAAATATGAAAAACCACTGCTTTTATGTCTTCTTCATCTCGGGAGGCTTTTTCAGTTCATTCATAACAATTTGCTTTTGTATAATGTTATTATTATTAGCAGTATTACTTATTATATCCATATTTATATTTGTTTTATTAAAAACAAGCTTAGATTTGCCCACCTGTTAGGTTTTAGACCATATGGAGCATGGCAGGTGTATTTGGAAATAACTGAGTATTTTGACCACACTTGGGCATTAATGTTCATTTATTCATTTGCTAGAAATTAGAACTGAATTTAGAAATAGTTTTAAAATAAATCTTTGCGCTTAACAAACGAAATTGATTATTTATAGGCTAATTGATGTCTGTGCATAAAGGTTTCCCTATCCAAGAGCTAAAGTGAAAGTAGATCATTTAACTCTCATTCTCATGCAGTAGATGCTCTGTTTAACAGTTTTCTGTTAAAAAACTTTTTCCACTTAGACTTACTTTGTGTCCTGTAAATAGCGAATGTGCTCTTGGCGCGACGCAGCTGGCTCTTAAAGGGAATGGGAGATGAGACTCTAATTGGTTTATTCTCAAAACACACCTATAACTCATTAAGAAAATAAACTCAACCCTTTTAGCCCATGCGCCTTGACGCAAAGCAGGTTTTCCCATCCGTAAATAGGCAAAAATGCGTTCTGACATGCCCTGAAAGCGTTTGCGCCCAGCGTTTTGCGCTCTGCGCATGGGCCGTCAAAATAAAGCCCTATATCTTTCCCAAAACAGTTCACTCATGTGTCAAAACTAAATGATCTTCTCATTTAAACAGTCCAAGCCCCAAAACGCTTCGTCCCTTCAGCATTGTGTGAGCACTGCAAGTCAGAATGTTCAGATGTTTGGTCATCATGGCAAAGCACCACTAAAACATCCCTCTTGTCCACCCCACAGTCTCAACCCAGTCCTTCACTGACAATGCTCACTGTACTGTTTTTGTCCAGCCGACAATGTATAAAACTGAAAAAAGAAATAGGATTTTAGGGTACGAATAGCCTCCAAGGTTTGATGTCACACATTGCACTCATACTGCCAGGGAAACGCTCACTCCTTTTTTATTGTAATGATCAACCACACAAGTATCTTCCATATATCAGAGCAAAAAGAGTAGAGAGCTGTAATAAACTGTCATCAAATGCTCCGAGCATTCACCTACTGTATGGTGTTCATGGTGTTATGGTCTTGACTGATTTGGACAATTGAACAGACTATTGTGCATGTGATGCCTTATACAATGAAATAACGCTGACACATTTGGAGAGAAAGACCATTAGACTGAGAATTACCAATCAGTTTAGATCAACTAGATCTATTCACTTGGAAACTGTGCTAAATGTCGGCTATCTGTACTTAATCATGTGCAAAGATGAACTTAGACAGTTGCAATTTGATGAAATTAATGAGAAATTCAGCTCTGTTGTGAACAATTGCCAAGTGGTTTGGAGGTTTGTCCGTGTTGTTTAGAGAATGTAATTCCTGTTTTAGGAAATGAGCCAAACCAAAGGAGAAAAACTGAAATAAATCTGACATACCTTGATCAGAAATCTAAATAGGAGAGTAAATGCTGAAGCCATTGTGGTCCAGTGGTCAGCACATTTCATTATGACGCCGTTGACCGGAGTTCAAACCTCACCCGAGTCATTTATTTTCATTTTTAGTGCTAAGACATGTAATACTGTTTGGGTTACTTATATAGGTGTACATATTTTATTTTTTGTGTGAGCACCGTTATAAAGGACTGGATATCTATAAAGAGTTCAGCACAGAATATATATTCAGATATTGCAGGAAAGGACGTTATGCTGTTGTAAAGAATAGTGTTGGAGATTCAGCTCCCCTTTAATCTTAAAAGCAGCTGTGTGCTTGTAAAAGACGTGATCGTGTCATTAGAAACTGAACTGGAAATGACCTGATTTTAATATAGTCAGTCGTGAACTGAGGTGGGCCGGTCTAAGGCTTGAAACTCCAGGGCTGTAAAGGAGTCCCACTGCGGCCCTGTGTAGCACTGCAATTAGTTTTTATTATACGTGACTTTACAGGACTCAAAATTAAGCATTTATCAAAATCTATCTCTGACCACAACAAAAATAAATAATTATTTCTCAGCCACAAATTAAAAATAATGTGTCAAAACAAGCTAAATATAGGTGTATACATGCTCTTTTTATTGAACAAAACTTTTCTTTAATTGTCCTGGCTAAAGCTCACAGATCACCAGTTAACCAAACAGCGAGTTAATCTACAATTAAAGCAATCTTATTATATATACACACACACACAATTAAACCATATTAACAAAAATAACAATCAGCAAAAGAAAGCTCATGAAAAGCATACCGTGTGATAATAGGATCCCGTTAACATTAGACCTGTTAATAATCTGTTTAAAGAATGGGGAAAGAAAAGAGAAAGCAATAACCGGCGCCGCTGCTGCTTACAACAATACATTTATTTTAAATCTGGAGCTCTTGAAATCAGCAGGTCTGCAGATTCACAAGCATCACCTTTTGTCCAGTCGAATTTAAAGAGAGCAGATCGCGCCAGGTGAGTTTCCAGGCACGGTCGCTTCGCGGAAGAAAACGGGAGCGCGCACGCTTTGTAAACAGCCGCTCGCATCACATGACCTGTGCGCGCGAGTGATCTTTCTTTTGCTCGCGTGAAGACAGTTGTTTTTATCAGTCCTGCTGCTGCTTCTCGATTCTAAGATCACATATGCATACTGGGCTATCTTTATTGTCAAACCCTGCTTTTTAGAAAGCTACAATTTGAAAAGTATTATCCGCATTCTACCTGTTACCGGAAGCTCTTTCACTTTCGACTTCGTGACTGTTTAAAGTTTATTTTGTGCTGAATGATGTGAAATTATCGAGTCAACCTGATATAGAAGAGTACAAACACTTTCAAGAGATAAAAATAACCCATTATATTGTTGAAATGACCGTGTTTGGTTTGAGGCTTTAAGCTTCAGGAGCAGACAGTGCTATAAATCACGCTTATACACATATAAACCCTTCATCATCTCCACAAATCAGCCTAATGTAGAAGTGTTAAACTCACATGCAGAAGTACAGACGCTCTTGTGCAGCAGGAACACGATCTGATCTCTTTTACTTCACTAAAACACACCTGTGTGATTTACAGGTATATCCTGAAATTTTACTGGCTCCACTGACATGAATATTCATGAGATTCTCCTGACTGTGGGCGTGTCCTCGAGACAACACAAACCACTGGAGCTGAAGATTTCTGTGCAGCTTCTCTGAGCACGAGTGTGTTAAAGGAAGATTTCGAGAAAGTTTTAAGAAAACAAATGAGTATTGGAGCTATAAAATAAGAATATAAATAACATTATGGGTCTATATATGAATACAGCACTTACAGATCTCTGTGTTAGTTCATATATTCTATTGGACACTTTACAATAAGACCAACAGATCAGTCAGTACTGGAACTGATATAACAAGCAACTCAACATGATCAGGATGCTAAAACTAGCACAGAATATTACTGTTAGACACAAAATTAGTTGAGCCCAGTGAATATACAAGGGAGAATCACATCAAGTGATAATAAAGATGAAAAATCAAGAGAAAATAAGACTTTAACTTCAGCTGAAATGTTGTTTTATTCAATATCTCATTTGACTTTACACTAAAATTCAGTTTTCTTTATCAAATACAAACTCATACACACGACAATATCCAGTGAAATGCTTATACGACCAGCCATGACCTTAAAGACAACAAGACTATAAATGAGAAATAAATTACTGAATGAAATAAGAAATAAAATATAGACAAACTTTAGTCATAGGAAATATATCTGTAGAGAATAAAATAAACACATTAAAACCCGTGGCTATACAACTGTAGAGAACTTTAGCTGTAAACTGACT